GAGGGGGAGGAGGAGGGGGAGGAGGAGGGGGAGGAAGAGGAGGAGGAGGAGGAGAGCGTCTTCTGGGGAAGAGAAGTCTAGACGGTGGCTGCCAAGACGGGCGGCGGCCCGCCAAACCCAGTACACGGGGGCAGATGCACCTTCGGTCCTTCCAAGCCCTGCGGCACAGGGGCAACCAGCCGCCCCCTGCTGGGGCAGGCTCCTCACTCTGCCCTGAACTGCTGTCCTGCTCCATCCCCGGCTGACCTTTCTCTCTGTCACGGGGCAGCCGCGGGGTGCCTCCCTCCGCCCCGGCTGGCGGCTCTCCGCACGCGTCCCCACATGCGTGCCCAGAGGCCGAGGAGGAAAGTCGGGGCGAGGCCGACTTCTCAGCGGCGGTGGAGCCCCGTCCCGTGGAGACTCCTTGGTCTTCAGCGCCCTCCCCAGGCATGCCCCCCTCGAAAGCGGCAGTGCGGGCCATGGCTGTGGCGCCCTCCCGAGCGTCTCGCCCCTGTACACTGGAAGGCCCACGGCCGCAAGATCACACTGCATCTCGGGAGAGGTCAGGGGACCCTTTTCTCGATGCTCCCCCCGATACTCCGAAGTGCCCTCCATCGGTTTCGCCTCCAGAGCAGGCTCGGGCCCACCCACGCTGAAGCCCAACGTCCTGCTTCGCGTTGGGAACCTGGCCGGATGGGCACGGTGCCCCTCTCTGGATGGATCCTCCGTCCCCCGCTCTCTCTGGTCTGGGAGATGGCTATCTTCCTCGATCCAGCAGGTGCCTCTGGCTCTACCTCTGTCACTGGCCAAAGTGCGGACAGGCTTGACTTCACTTACGCACTTAACCTTTCTGGCCAGGACGCAGGACTTCTCAAATTTGGCGGAGGAGCCCGCGGACTAATCGGAGTCATCCTTCGGAATGGCGAGTGGTCCACAAGGAACTTCGAGCATCCACCAATTCGCTGTGGACTATGTCCACGCCGAGCTCCTCAGGCACGGCGCTTCCCTACTGTGCGAATCAGGAGCCGAGTATCGTTTTGTGCTAGGGCAAATCGTCACTAGCTGTGTGAACTATTTTGCTCGTTATGGGGGTCTGTGGAGGCTGCCTTTACAGCTGCCTTGGAGCGCTTTGAGGGTCACATTCCCCCACTTTTGAGCCTTCATGGTCACCACCTCCTCCGCCGGGCCTTGCAGGCTGGGGTTGGGCATCTGCTCCCCCCCCGGCATTTTCCAAATATTACGCGCCAGCGAATACGAGACCATCAGCCTTGTTGGACTTCCCCTCCCACCTCCAATTTCCTCCCCCGTTCCTCTCCTCTGATGTCCCTCTCCTGGGATACTACCCGACATGGGGCCGTGACCCTGCTGTACAGCAGCACGCGCTATGCAGCGGAGGGTACTTCCAGAAAGTGTCTCCTTTCTTCTCTCCTCCCTCAGTTCTTGCACCGCATGCGGTGCAGCAGGCGCACATCCCAAAGGCGCCCTCTCCCCACCCCTCTTCCTGAGGGCATCTATTTTCGCAAGCTCACTCTCTTCTTGGCGCACCTCCTGACTGTGCCTCGGCCCCCTTCCCCTCCGCCAGCGAGCGGGGCCTTGTGCGACTGTTGTGGACGACGTGTCAGCTTTCGAATGACATACCTCCCCCATTTCGCTTCCCCACGTACCTCCAACAGACAGGAGAGCAACGACCCTCTGGTGCTGCCAATCTGTGTAGAGATCGTGCTTTGAAACAGTTGGAACAGGTGCTGGATTTGGTACGGCAAATTCTGGAGCATTGGGGAAAGAAAACACAGGCTGACAATTGGCCCGGCATGTCCCAGGTGGCAAGTCCGCGCTGCGGGATCGAAGCCGCAGGCACGTGCAACGGATTTGCTGAGATGCTCAATGGGAATGAGCGCCCACGAGTATCGTGCAGCCACGGTGCAGCGCTCGGAAGAGCCGGCTGCTGGTCCATGGCGTCCAACGACTGTCACAAACCGGCGCTGCGAGCTCGAAGGTACAGGCATGGGCGGCGCTTGGCTCAGTGCGACGGTCGCCGCGTGCCTTCCTCCTCCACTCCCCTCTCTCCCCTTCTGTTTCTCCTCGTGCCTGCCAGGTCTCACACTGTTCGTGCCAGTGCGGTGGAAGACCGCAGCTCGGTTGGCACAGCGAGCGCGGAGATGACATCAAGGCCAAGGGGCCTGTGGGGTGTGGCATCCAGCACAAGCCAGTGACATGTGCATCTGCAACAGCGTTCGGGTGCGACTACTCCATGGGATTGCGAGCCACACGCCTAGTGCAGCCACGGTGCCGAGCTAAAACGCGCTGACAAGTGTCTTGGCGTGTCCAACTTTACGACGCGCCAGCGCTGCGGGTTCGAACGTGCAGGCATGTGTAGCACCGTGCGGATACGAGGATTCTGTGAGAATTCACGCCCCGCCTCCCAAGAAGCTGTCCTCCTCCAGGACTACCTCAGCATGCCATCGCCCATGCGCTCCGGCATCTGAGAGGGCCCCTGGCCTGCAAGTGCCAAGTCTCCATCCCAGACGACGAAGGCACACCTACACTTTTTTCGCTGGCAGCGAGGCAGAATGGCTGCACCAGCAATAGAGCCAAACAGGGACACCGAGAAGCGAATTGCCCAGCGTGCAGGGGAGGATAATGAGATAGACTGGGCGGAAGGCGCACTTACACATGGTGCCGCCTTTCCTAACTCCTCTCCCCGACTGCCATCATTCTGGGGTCACATTCGTACCTTCAATCGGTGCCGCCTCAACCCCCCCTCATAAGAGAGAGGGCATCTTTCGAGTAATGACATGGTCGTTTCATTTTGCGCTCTCCATGCTACTCTGTTAGACGCGCCTGCAGCCAGCCGCACACGGCTGGCACTCCAGCCCCACCGATCTTGATGAAACCACTTTCTCCTTCCTATATGGGGCTGCTCTCATGTTCGTCTCCCTCCGCTAACCTTAGGCCCTCCTCCTATGAGGATGTCGTCGCTACTGCAGAGCGGGCCCACTGCCTGCCTCCCCTTGCGGATGCGGCAGGCGCACCTCTTGAAGGCGCCTCGCTCCCCTCCTCCCCAAGTGCGGGGCTGCGATCCCAGACGTGGATGGTTGAGGTGCCCGACCCGCCCCACTTGCCAGTGGCCTGGCTCCGAGTTCCCTTCTTTATTCCTACCCCCATCGCCAATTCAGACTTCTTCCATCCTCCTGTCCTCAACTTCTTTCTGTAAGCGGGACCACGTTGTGGCCACCTCGATTGTCGAGGCCAGGCAGCGCCCCGTCTGTGCAGGCTGGGCGCATAGAAGAGGCTCCTGGTCGCGAGCCTGGCTAATGGGGTGGTGGCGACGGCTGCGCCGTGGCCTGGGGACCGACACCTTGTTGCAAGGCTCAGCCTGTGCGGAGTGCTGATGGACCGTGACGCCGGGAAGCCATCGCCTCCTCATTTTCCTGGCCCGCCAGCCCTCGTTTGAATGGACCTTCTTGGCTTCCGATGTCTTGCTTGCCTCAAGGCCCTTCTTCTGCTGTCTACTCAGCTGCCTTTTGACGAACTCTAGCTGCCTAACGGGACCAAGCTTGACCACACCAGTCATCCGCCTATTTTTCAGAAGGTAGCCACGTTGTGGCCTCTGCTTGCAGGCGTGCGCACGTGTTAGCTGCCGCCTCTGGCTGTAGGTGAGCGTCTTGATATCGCTGCGGCCCCATTCCCCTTCCTCCTTCTCACCTCCTCCTTCACCATTCTCGCGGCAACCACCGCTTGTTGGAGGGTGCTCCGCATCGGCCTCCGCAGGCGCGGACGCACGCGTGCAGCCTTCTTCTGCGGCAGCTAGAGGTGCGTGGTACCTGTTCCCGCTGCCTTAGTGACGTGACGGCATACAATCGAGGTAACGCCAGGCTGAGTCAAGCAAAGAATCCGTCCTCTCTCGCTCCCTCCCCCCCTGCTCTGCATCCTTTTCATCCACGGGGCGCGGTACTCGCCCAGCAACTGTGAGCTCGCCCTGCGCTCCCGCTGACGACCGGACGGAACCGAGCCTCCTCCTCCGCTTCCCTCCTCCTCCCTCCCCCCCTCCTCCCTCCTCGTTTTTCCTCCTCTTCCTCCCTCTCTCCCTTCCTCCCTCCCCCCCCTCCCTCACTCCTCCCTGTTGCGTTTGAGCAACTCCTCCCTGTCTCATCCCCTGACGTGTCGGTTGGGCGGGCCGGGCGTTTCGCCTGAGACCTCCTCGCCATTTATGATCATGAAGCTTGAACGCTGGAGCAATTCCAAGGGTGGAAGGCGGGCCAGGGCGTTGTCAGTGTGGCTCTCGCTGCAGCGCCGTCGTAAGAGTTTGCAGCAATTTCATACAAAGGGCGGGTCCTTTCCAAATTGTGGCTGTCGCCTCAGCGCCGCGCACATTCGTCTTAGAAAAACTCATCAATTAAAACATGGAGTGCAAGCCCCTTTCGTAATGGTGCTCTCGCCTCAGCGCAGCGCGCGTTCGTCTTACAATTCTGCAGCATTTCTGTGGATGGGAGGGAGGTCCTTTTCAAACTGTTCCTGTCGGCTTAGCGCCGCGCGCATTGGTCTTGACACTTTGTAGCAGTTTCAAAGATGGAGGGCGGGCCGTTTTCAAAATATGGCTTTCGCCTCAGCGCCGCGCGCATTCATTTTTCAAAGTTCGCAGCAGTTTCAAGGACTCGTCTGGTTGAGGTCCTGGGAATAGTGTCCTGGCACGACGTAGGATTGTTAGCACGCAGCAATCACATTGATTCGATGCGTGGAAGTCCATTGAAGGGTGCTCTGGCACGATTTTGGGTTGTCAGGACGCAGCGGTGTTGAATGAAGTCCAAGGCGTGGTGCCTTGGCACGATTGGGGATTCTCAGACGGTTGTCCTCCATTGCGGTACTTCCCGCTGTGAGCAACAAATCCAGCAGGGACCTTTGAAGAGGAGGCTTGAACGGAAGGTTGGCAACAACTCCGCTGCTGCGTCTTGGGCTTATACTGGTGCTCCTCCGCCTCCTCCCACCCGCTCCGCTCCTCCCCGAGGCTGTAGTCGAACAACCTAGACAATGCCTGCATGAACGAGTGGAGGTGCCGGGAGCGCTGCGAGTGCTGCTTCATCAGGAGGTTCGCCTGATCTCGCTGCAGGCGTTCCTCGTGTGCTTCCTTGCCGGGGGAGGAGGAGGCGGAGGAGGGAGCAGGAGGAGGAGTGTCTTCTTTGGCCGTTTGAAATTTTCAAATGGTTGCGGTAGTCTCCGGATGATTCTGGAGAGATAGTAGTTGGAGCAGTAGTGGCAACACGGGTAGCAGCTAAGAGGTTGTGCGATCGCCTGTGTTTTGCATGTTTTGATATGGGTACCTGTGTTGAAGACTGTTGCATGTTTGCTGTGCTTGCTTGTCGTGGCTTGCTTGCCAGATGTTTCAGGTTGCTTGTCTGCTGCTTGACCGTTTGCTGAACTGTGTCAGGCACTCCTCAGAAGGAACAGGGGCAGGAGGAGGTAACGGTTTCGAAACCAGTGAAATTTCGAGACCATCGAAAACACCATCACTCCAATTAGCATCAAACTCGTCCCTGCGAGGGTTCCCAACCAACATCAAACATCAATTGTTTCAGAACTTGGCGGGCATGGGGCTCGTCGTCCTGGGACCCCGACAAATGGGGGGAACCATCGATCAGCAAATGAACTCATACAGAGCAACTTCATCCCTCTGAGGGTCTCCCCCACGAACCTTTCAACCTTTTCAAACCCTCACACGGATGAATGGGCTTGGATTGTCTAAGCTGGTTTTAGCGGCGTTTCAATCACACTAGCTCTCTGGGTAAAGAGTTTTGTCTGCTTTCTTCTATAACCCCTTCCTCCCCTGTTCTGGGGAGGGGCTTATCACTGTTCCTTATTAATATACACCCCCTCCCTACGCGACTGGCGGCCAACCAGGAACCATGCTCCCCCCCACACCATCCCTGTCAACAATCAATACAACATGCACTCTGCCTCCAAATTCGGAGCATGCGCAACCAACCCGATGCGGCCCCCCCTCCGCCACCCCTGTCAACAAACAATACAAAGTACACTTCGGGGCAAAGTATGGAGTCATGTTCGTGAGGCCCGCCGGCACTTTGTATTGTTTTTTACAAGGGCGGCGGGGGTGTCAGCCTATTGTCTGCTGTGTGTAGGGCTACCATACAAAACACAAGATAAACTGCACCTCGCGGCTAAATCTGGATCATGCGCGGCCACCCCGCGATCATTGTCAAGTGGTTTTTGACAGAGACGGCGGGGGTGGTAGCGTATGGCCTGCTGTGCGCAGGCCCGCCAGACACAATGATGTGCATTGGTTTTCGACAAGGATGGTGAGGGCCGACATGTTTCCCGATGTGTGCAGTAACGTGCGCAGGCACACCTGGCACACTCGGCACGTGCCCCGAACGTGGCGTACCTGGCGCGGCTGGAGTATGGGGCACAACTGGCGCACGCGGAAGCACATGGCGCATCTGACGCACCAGGCGTGCCTGGCACGCTCGGGCCCCAGGGGTGCCTGGCACGCGTGGCGCACCTCGCCCCAGCATCGCGCACATGGGCTCGGTTTTGGTTCCCAGTAGCTGTCCATCCAAGGACGACCGCTGAACATGCTGAGACTCGGGTGTTACCAGTGTGTTGGGAGGGCGGGTGGGATTGAGCTAGACGGCTTGCTACCTGGAGGGTGTGTTGACCCCTCCCCCTACCCCCTCTCCTGGGTTTGGACGGGGCGCCCCGCGAGGTGTCAGAGGGTGCTTTTCGGTCCCAGATGGCTCCAAGAGGGCCTCCGAGAGTTCAATGTGGCCTCCAAGATTACCCGATATGCTTCAATATGGCTGAAGATAATCTCCGACGTTCCTCCACGACGTCCCAAGACAGCCCCAAAACCGTTCCAGGGGCCCTCCGAGCCCTCCAAGGACCTCCCCAAGAGGCCACAATCCTTCGGACACCGAAGGGACAATCATGCTTTTTGCTTTCTCTCCTTTTCGCTTCCTATGGGCTTTTGAGAGATGGCCCAAGACAGCCCCAAGAGGGACCCAACATGGCCCCACACCAGTCCCAAGAGCGCCCAAGAGCGCCCTAAAAGCGCCCTAAGACGGCACCAAGAGGTCATTTTTGAGCCTCCGAGGGGGAGGCCTAAACTACCCCCCCCCTTTTCGAGCCATGGGGGCCAAGATGCCTCCCAAAGGCCTCCCAGACCCCCTCGCAAACGAGCCCCCAGAGGGCCCCAAGAAGGCCCCAAGCGAGCACCAAGAGGGCCTCAAGAGTGCACCAAAAGGCTTCGCGAGGACCCCAAGAGAGCCCCAAAATGGCTCCAAAAGACCTCTGAGAAAACGCTTCCAAGGCGGTTGTTGCTCTGCACTCTTTTACACTTCCCTGTTGCTCTGGATGGGCTGGCGGGGATACTTTTTTTGTTCGCGGCTCCAAGACGATGGACAAGGAGCGGGCACAACGTCCGGGGCGCGGTACGTCATTAATTGGCGCGAGATTGCCGCGGATTCCAGCGGACTGGCGGGGATACGCGAGTCGTCAAGAATTCCTTAGAATCCCAGTCCGACGAGCCCCACGCCGACTAAGTTCGAGCAGAATGGGTTGTTGAAACTACTTTGGGACCCTCGCAGGGGGTGAGTTGGGTTTCGAGTTTCGTTGCCTGGGTCCGCCGACCCCCGCATGCCGGGGGTGAAAAGGCGTGTGAGAGAACTGGCTATCCACCTCCGCCTTTTCCCCTCCCCTGGGGCTCAAAATCGCCTGCGAAGGGGGGTGTGCTCGGGGTGGGGGGGGATCTGGAACTCATCAACGGTGCCCAGGGCGACGTTTTCGGAGCCAAGAGGGCCCCAAAACGGTCCACGAGGGCCCCGAATCGCCGAACGATCGCTCCAAGACGCTCAAGATGGCCCCCAAACCACCCGAGAGGCCTCCAAGACGCCCCATGATGCCTCCAAGAGGCAAAACACGCAAAACACATTTTATGCTTCCCAAGTTTGGGACAATTTTTGGGGTTCTCGCCTTTTCGGCTTCCCGGCGCTCCCAGACGGTTCTTACGGTCCCACAGATCGCCCCAAGACGGCTCAAGAGGCCTCCAAGAGTGCTCCAAAAAGGCAGAGGGCCCCAAGACGGCCCAAGAGACGCCCAAAACGGCCCAAGAGGCCCAAATGACGGCCCCAAGGGGGCCCAGATGGGGGACCCGAGCGGACATTTCGTTTCCTCGGCCCCGAGGGGCCCCCAGGAGGCCCCAAGAGGCCCCCGAGAGCGCTCCGAAGAGACCCAAAGAAGTATCCCTGAGAACTCTGACCCACAACCCACGCACGTGGCGGGATGGGCCGAAGACCAGTAGACCTCGCTCTTTCCGTTATCCGCCGCCCCCTGTTGATTCATCACAGAGGTGCCTGGCGTTCTGGACCCTTTCGCTTTTGGTTTTGGTTTTTTCCAATAGAACGCCTCCTGGGGCTTCGACCCAGTCCGCCGGGGTCCCCGAAGGTTTCCGAAAATCCGTCTGTCAATGCCTTTCTTGCTCCAAGATAGCCTGCGGTGGCCTCCAAGACGGCCAAGATGGCCCAGGATGGTCTCCAAGATGCCTCAAACACGGCCAAGATGGCCTCCAAGACAGCTAAGGTGGTCCCAAGATGCACCCAAGACGGCCCCAGATGGCTTCAAGATGGTCTAAGACGGCCCAAAAGACCCAGAAGAGGCCTCCAAGACGGCTCAAGAGGCCTCCAAGACGTCCTCCAGGAAGACCCGAAAAGGGCACAATTCATTAATTTTCCGTGTTTTTTTGGGCATTTTCTTCTTATCAGCTCACCGACGGCCCAAGACGGCCCAAGAGGCCCCCAACATCGTCCCAAGAGCGCCCAAGAGGCCTCCAAGATGGCCCCATGACAGCCCAAGAGGCCCCCAAGAGGGCCCCAAGAAGAGCCCAAGACGGTCCAAGATGGCCCCGAAAACGCCCAAGACGGCCTACAAGACGGTCAAGATGGCCTCCAAGAGGGTCTCCAAGATGCCTCCATGACGGCCAAGAAGGCCTCCAAGACAGCGAAGATGGCCCCAAGATACAGTTGGCCTCAAGATGGCCTTAGACTGCCCAACAGGCCCGCAAGAGGCCTCCAAGACGGCCCAAGAGCCCTCCAAGACGTCCTCCAGGAAGGACCGAAAGGGTCAAAATGGCCTCCAGACGGCCAAGCTGACCTTCAACATGCCTCCAAGACGGCCAAGATGGCCTCCAAGACGGCGAAGATGGCCCCAACATGCACCCAAGACTGCCCAAGATGGCCCCAAGATGACCTAAGACGGCCCAAACGGCCCGCAGGAGGCCCCCAAGACGGCAGCAGGAGTCCTCCAAGCCGTTCTCCTGGAAGGCCCGAACGGGCCAAAACCATTAATTTTCTTTACCTCCTCCTCCTCCTCCTCCTCCTCCTCCTCCCCACAAAACGGCCCCATGGGGGCCCCCAAGACGGCTCCATGATCGCCGAAGGGCCCTCCAAGATGGCCCCCTATGACAGCCCAAGGGGCCCCCAAGACGGCCCCTAAGAAGCCCCCAGGACGGCCCCAAGAGGCCCCCAAGAGGCCCCAAGACAACCTCCTCCACCGCGTTCCCCGAAAGCCTTCCGAACCGATTCGGGGAACGTTCGTTCCGAGATGTTGGCAAGGATACCTTCGGCCAGCAGGCCACGAGGCGCCTCCAAAAGCTCACGAGAGCCCGCAAGGGGCCTCGAACACGCCCATTCCTCACTCTCCTCCTCTTCCCCGTCCCCCACGTGTTCCCCGAAGGCTTTCCAAACCGATTCAGGGAACACATGGTCCGACAGCTTGGCAGGGCTCTGGCCTCAACGTTCGGCCACATAGGCGCTTCCGAAAGGAAGGGGGCGGCGGTGACTCGCCGTAGGCGTCTTCGATCCGCCGCCCCCTGTTGGCTTGCAACAAGGGTGGCCGTCGTGCTGGACCCTTTCGGTTTTGGTTTTGGTTCTCTTTCCAGAAGAACTTTCCCCTGGGGCTCTGGCCCAACCCGCTGGCCACTTGGAAAGAACCGCAAAAGCGCGCAAACGACCTCAACGTCCGGAAACAATCCTCCAAGACGGCTCAAGATGCCCAACAGGACCGCCAAGATGGCCTCCAAGATGGCCTCCAACACGGCCCAAGAAGGTCCAAGA